GTGGCAAGAGAGAAAAAATGTGGTAAAGAGTATAAATAAAAACAAAGGAAGTTCCATCTCCATATGAGGAAGAACTTCTTCAYTGTGAGGGTGAGAGCTGWGGACTAGGCTGCCCAGAGTGCTTGTGGATTATCCTTCTCTGGAGATCTTCCAAACCTGTCTCGATGTGACCCTGTGCCAGGTTCTCTAGGTGTTCCTGTTTGATCAGGATGGTTGGACTGGRTGATCTCTGCAGGTCCCTTCCAAACTCAACCATTCYRTSATTCTGTGATTCCGTAATCTCCCTCCCCTTGATTAAYGAGCTGATTTTCTCTATGGCTGTAGAGCTCTGCAGGTGTCAGTCCCTCCASTGGGCACCCTCAGCAAACAKTCCCATCCSCGATTGCTGCTGCTGGCCACTCAGTGACTCTGGCAGCAGTGACCTCAGCACCAGCACCCCAACATCAGCCACCTGCTGGCCCAGCAGCTCCTGGGACAGTAGGGACCTCGCACGTTGCAGCCCAGCGTGGGCTGTTGCTGCCACGGGCTGCAGGGACACCAGGTCCCTCGGCAGAACCGCCCAACAAGGGAGGAGCTGCTGACGTCACAACCATCTGCCTGGCCTGGCCAATCAGGGGCTGCAGCAGCAGTGACCTCACCAGCCAACGCCCACGTGTCAGCACAGAGCCAGCCCTGCAGAGAGAAGGGACCTCCCCKCAYTRTCCCCGCAATGGCCTCCTTGTCCCTRCCCGCTGCTGGGACACGCCTGGCCTCCCAGGCAGCGCCTGCTGCTGCCCCGGCAGCTCCTCGCACACAAGGGACCTCCCCGCATGTTTGCACCAGACCCTGCTGCCGGCCGCGCTGCTGCAGGGACAGGAGCGACCTCAGAGCCCGTCCCAGCCATGGGCCAGCGCTGGCCTTGCAGCTGCTCTGGCAGCAGGGACCTCGCAAGGAGCTTCCCACCAGGTGCCTCTTGCCGGCCTGCCCAGGCCTCCAAAAAGAGCAGAGCTCACGGTCACCCTCACAGCCTGTGCCTGTTGATGCCGGCTCCTGTCCACACAGCAGAGAGATTCCCCTGTCTCCTGGAAGCCGTCACCTCCCGTCAGGGATGGGATCTTCCCAAACTGCTGTTCCTCATCTTGGACCTTAAGTGCTCCCTGAGCTTTTCCATGTACTTTTCCCCAGCACCTTGGAGCCGTCCCGGCTCCCTGGCTCTCTTGGGGGGCTGCACAGCAGAGCCTGGAATGTGGTGCAATGCCGCAGGATCTGCATTTGGAGTCAAGCAGCAGTTTGTGACATGAGCAGCTCCCTGCTCTGCACTGATGAAGCTGGAAAACATCCCTGCAACCCTCCTGCCTGCTCTTCCTCCTCTCTGCAGAGTCCTGGCACACTCCTGCAGAAGGGAGACCCCATCCCCTGGAATCCTGTCTGACATGTGGCTTTCCAAGGCACTGCAAAGGGAAGCCCGCCTTGACCCATTCCTTTGGGTTGCTTATTCAGCCTCCAACATCTTGTTTGTGGCACTGTGAGCCCTGCTCTGCACCCTGGCATCTCTGCCCTTTCTCTCCTGTCTCCTCTGTTTCTGCTCAGTCTCCTCTCTGC